CCCAGGTGCTTGGGTTCATGAGGTTCTGGGTTCGTCGCAAACCCAGGTGCTTAGGTTTGTTGTGAACCCAACTAGAAGGCAAAGGTTAAAAAAAAGAAAAAAAAATGAAGGCTGGGGGAAGGAAAGGGTAAGACAGAAGGGGGAAGAAAATGGGGGCAAATTAGTGAAGATTTGAGCTTTAATTGAGATGAAGATTGGTGTGAAGATTTGAGGGCTTTGATGGAGTAAGGTTTGGTGAAGAAGAAATTGATGGATGAGAGGGGAATTAGGTTTAGGCAAAGGTAGAGAGGATCGGGGATTTGGGGCTTAGGAAGAAGATGAGGAAAGAAATGCAACATGAAAAGACAAAGGGAAAAGATGATTTTTTTTTCTTTTAATTGTTTTAGAACCTATTGATTACATGGAAAATAAATTTTATTGCCAACTCATCAATTTTGCAACGTGTAATCACATGTTACCATTAAAAAGGGAAAAAAAACCAAAACATTTAACGGATTATTGTGCCATGCTATCACTTAACTGACGAAAGGATTGAAAAGGGGTCGTATTTTAGACAGTAAGAATCAAAAAGGGGATTTTTTCAATACATGGACCAAAAAGGGGCTTTTTTCAATAGTACAGGGACCAAAAAGGGTATTTAACCTTTTCATTAAGAGTTTCATTCATTGATTTCATTTCTTGCAATAAAGATAATTTTTCTATATCTCTGATTAATTATTCTTTATTTGATGTAGGAATGTTCATTTGATTTACAGGTTTTGAAGGCTATACCTGTTTAACCTCTTTTGTTTTTTTGTGGCAAAATATACAATATACCTTTGAGCATATTGTACATTTCATTTTTGTAGAAGGCTGGTGTACCTATGGCAATCTAAACATTTTTCCCATTGTCGTGATTGATTTAATTGCCATAAGTGTTTACAATCAAAATCAATTCTGATCATCATGATTTTTACACTATTTAGTTCTTGATCAAGAGAATCTATAAATTGCTGAAGATTTTGATCTTCAAAATCTATATCTTCTTCAAATTTTGAATAAGATTTAGATAGATCTTCTATAAACAAATATTCTGAAATGATACTGTAGACATCACTTTCAGATTCATATCTGATTATAGAGATGATGTCTTCCACTTCCTCAAGATTTTCCCATATGTGAAATCTTTCTATTGGTTTGTTTTTATTTGGGCATCTCTTTGCATAGTATCTTGGATCTCCACATATATAGCATTTTTGGTCTTTCTTTGGATTTTTGGGTTTTTTTCACATATTTCTCTTTTTAACTAGTTTTTCCTTTTTTGAAGGTTTTACTAGACCTAAGAGAATATATTTTCCTTTTTATGAATTTTTTGGGTTTGCATGAAAAACATTCTTTTTGGGATTTTTTGTATTTTTTCCACCTATTATATGATTCTTTTGAAGAACCATGTCCCCTAATTACAGATTTACAAAAATCAAATTTTTTCTGTTTAAGAGATTTTTGGATTTGAATAACGACACATTTTTATCTTAATATTTTATATATAAACAAAATCCTAGGGCCTGCTCCTTGTTGAAGTGCAAGATTAGAAGCTAGCCATTTTTCCTTGATTTGTTTACCAAGGGTGCTTGGAAGCTTATCAAAGATTCTATTATTTAAGTTGTCATCAAATCCTTATCCCATTCTAGCAAAGAGTTTAAGAAAATCATTGCAAAAGGACTCGGTTTGATACCAAGATGTTAACTGAAGGACCTCAAGTTCCTCAATAACTTTATTTTGTAAAGCTCGTTCAAAATCAACAGTTACATCATATCCTAAGAACATCTTTTTGATTAAAGAGGTAAAATTGCATGGATTTTCCCCCAAGCCTTGTGTTTCAGCAACCAAGATTGGGTTCTCTCTTTTAAAGATATTCTAGTACAATTCTACAGTTGGGCCTAAAAGTGTTTCTAAGAATTCAAACATCTCACCATCGATAGATTGATTGATCCATGCTCAAAAGCATCTCTTTCCCATTGATCTATTATTTCTACCCAAAGTTGTGGATTCCAACTTAGTAATTCCAGAATAGTCCATTGTTGTTTTGCAACAGGTAACTGGTTTGGGTCAACCTCCATTCTTTTACCAAATTGTATCCTTTCTCTATTTTCTCTCCTATACTCAAGTGTTGCTTGAGGTATGGGATATCTTCCTCCTAATTGCTATGTTTTAGAATCAAAGACTCTAGATGCTATGGGAATTTTAGAATTTTCTTCAATTTCAAATCTAGTTGGAGCACTAGGGTTTTGGTTAGGATTCGGATTTGAATTTTCAAGGGCTACATTCATGAATATTTTTTCTTGCTGAGATTCATATTCATGAATAATTTGAAGTATGAGTTTATGATTTTTGAAGTAAGCCTCAATTGGTAGTTCTAGATCTAGAATTTGATCTTCTATGTTCTCTCCATAATATTTCAATTTTCAGACTTCTTTAGCATTAACTTTTTTTCCTTTTGAGGAAAAATAAGTTTCAATAAATTTCCATTCTTCATTATATTTGTTGTACTAAACAGGCCCTTAGTCTCATGTTGCCAACTTTGTCTTGAGTGACATTATATACAAGGAAAGAATACTTTAGCATTAATTTATGGTTGTTATTAGTCACTAATTATATTTTTCCTTAATTAGATTAGGGTAAGAAATTGGAGTGATATTATTATCACACCTTCAATTACTAATGTCACATTTGTTTATTTTAATTGATTATTATACCCTTTAATTTATTAAAAAACAAAAAACCGTAAAATTTCAAAAAAAAAGTAATGTAAGGGTATAATAGGTAATTATATTAAAAAGATATGATATTAATTATTTAAGATGCGACTATAAACCCACCCAACAAATTAAGCTCGTATATAAGCATAGAGTTGTAACCTTGTCTCGTTCCTGTCAATCAACCATCCATATGAGGAACCACAATACCTTTTATTAAAAGGTACTCTTAGTCTCAAGTTGCTGACTCTGTCTTGAGTGACATTAAATATAAGGAGAGAATCCTTTAGCATTAATCTATGATTATAATTAGTCACCAATTATGTTTTTCCTTAATTAGATTAGGGCAACACATTGAGCTGGTATATAAGCATAGAGTTGTAACCTTGTATTTCGTTGTCCTGATTAAATGTTATGAAAGTTTTCTAATTAGTGTTGAATTGAACTACTACAATACTTTAGTGGAAGTTATTAAGTTTATGAAAATCAAAACTTAAAATTAAAAATTATTTACAATTATACTTAATGAAATCTTAGAAAATATTAAAAAGAATTTGAAAGAATCATACTCCCTCCATTCTAAGTCAGTTGTCCTAGTTTGTAGTGCACTTATGTTTAGGTAATTTATATAT